CCTTTGCCATAGGCCATGGCATATATTGGTTCACTCCTACAAGGGAGGCTACTGTAGGACATATACTCCGTTCAGTGGAACAGGAAACACTTTAAAATGTGCAAATGTTATTGAAGTTGTTACTAGCATTACCAAATTACTGCATTTAAATCCAGTTGAGGCATCAACTTACGTTTCAGCACCGACTATGAAATATTGAAATGCAATAAAGATATCTTGCTCTTTCCCTTGTGGCTATTCTTTTAAAGTCATACATGTTAAAGTGTCTGTTTTGTCATTTCCCTTCTCTAGAAAGGCGTTCACTTCTCTCGGCTTTCAGTCACTGACAACAGAATCCTTGAGGGATGTTACATGGATCCAAGTGATACAGAGTATCTTCTTCATTATTCACTGTATTGCCTATTACATCAACAATTATGTACCTTTTAATTGGAACCATCACAGGACAGACAACATTAATACAAAAGGTGCATCATTTGCAGCAAGACCACTTTAAACCTCATGGAAACTTCAGAAATTAATTAGCAATGTTTGGAGTTTGATGCTAACAAAGTTAGTGGCAATCTTACATTTGTATGATTTATGGTTTAATTGTAAAACCTTATACCTTTCTTGATGCTTTATATTTATTTTATTTTAAAACCATCTCTTCACAGTTGGATTTCTATCTTTGTGCGTTATGTAGAGTAGGCATGGCCAAACTTGGCCCTCCAGATGTTTAGGGACTACAATTCTCATCATCCCTGACCACTGGTCCTGTTAGGTAGGGATGATGGGAGTTGTAGTCCCAAAACATCTGGAGGGCCAAGTAGAGAGTGTGTTGTTGTTGTGGCAATAATGCACCTCTAAATTGTACTGGCCTGCAGAAGACAGGAACCCCTGACAACTAAAATGGTCTGAGATAGTTTTAAATTTTGATTAGACATGTACATAAATAAATCACTTAACCTTAGATTCAAGCAATTTTATTCTGGACTTTTCCTTCAATCTGGCCTCAGCTAGAAATATTTCCTTGACAGAATGTCGACCTGGTTTGTAAAAATGCCATGAGCAAGCTTGTGACTGTTTGCCTAATTATTTGATTAACTTTGTTTCTATATTTGGTGAGATCCAATTAAGCATTCTGAACTCATTTTGTGTTTGCTTAAATATTTTTATCCATATTCTTCCTCCAGGTAATATACCTGCTTGGGAAAAAGATTACAGTGGCGCTGTGCTCTTGCATAAAACAGACAGCACTCGGTGCTGAGCTGTGATATTCAAGATGATGGCCTTAATTCCCTTAATGTTTCTTCCACATACAGACATCGTCTGTCCTAATTTCTTTAATTAAACTCCCATTCCAAAGACCCGTGATAAAATCATTTTTAAGAAACTGGGCAATTACCTCCAGGTAATTACCTTTGTGCATCTAGGGGCACATTAGTGACACAGGTATGCATTCAGCCAATTCGACCAGATTCCCCCCCCCACACACACTTTCTTTAGCACAAACAGGTAATCCTCGGTTTCATTATGTAGCAAGACAACTGTTTGTAAACCATGGGAAGCTTCACATTTCTTGACACCTACCTCCACATCTATTTTTATTCCCTACATTTGCATCATACCCTTCCCCCAAGCAGTCCTGCGAGGCCCAAGGTTATGCTTATCTGATAAGCTTCTTGGCTGAAGGGGCATCTCACCACACCCTATTCAGACATTGGTCTCCACGTGATCCAGATTATGTGTAGCGACTGACACAGAAGGACCACGTGCATCAGCTCCACCATCACATTCCATGTGTTGGGCACAGACACCATGTTGTCTATGGGGAAACGTCTGAAGAACGGAAGCCTACTGAATGTGCATAAGCTGTCTCAGTGAACTGGAACCCTGAGCACACAGGACTCCAAACCATGGGGACAGCCTATGTATGTTCAGCAAGCTTCCAGCTTTATATTTCCCTATGCATTGGCAGCATTAGGGAGTGGCTGGCAGAGGACACAGTGGTGGAGATGGAGCTCCTGCATGTGGCCCCACTCTCTCTCCATGCAGTCTGAATCACATGGAGACTAATGACAAAATATGATTGGTGCCTCTCAAGATACGCCATCCAATTGGTGGACAAGTCAATCAGCTCATAGTTATGCTTGAATGATTGACTGAGTGAATAAAATGTCTGAGTGCCATGCTTGGGAGGAGATGAGGAGTGACAGAAAGGCAGAGTTGGGAGTGTGAATATTGGCTTTAAGGCTGCAGGAGGCTCCTGGTAATGTACTTGATATATTATTGAGAAAGCTAAATACACTCAAACCCTCATCAGGTATCATAGCCGTGAATGCGCAGCAAAAGTAGAAAAGGTCTGCAGGGCAATCTCGTTGGCTCCTCCTCCCATAGTTGCACACCATGCAGTGGTTCCTTGTGTTCTACCATGATGATTGCAGAAGGGAACTTTTCCTACTCATCAAAGCTCTATGTATGATTAAGACCAAGATCAACCACCTTTCGTAATCACATGGGTTGCTCCACGAGTAGAAGAATTTCCCCACTGAAGATATTACACATAGGGAAACCAGAAAGAGCCATATGATGACAGGTGCTGGGGTCATGGTGCAGCCCCCTCAAGCCCTTTCCTACTTATTATGATTACCCATCTTGTTCCTTCCTATTATTAAATTTATTACTTGTCTTGTTCCTTCATGTCTTTAATGCCTGTGGAAGACTTCCCTGTCATCAATAGCTGCCTTGTTGATACTGTTTTGAATTATCTGCAATTCCTGCATTGCAGGGAGTTTGACTAGACGGCTCTTTCAGTCCCTTCCAACTCTACAATTCTATAATTCTATGATTTTGTGAACAAGAATTATACATGTTTTAAGCACAACAGTGTTATTACCTCGGGTTAAGAACTTCATTCGTCTGGAGGTCCATTCTTAACCTGAAACTGTTCTTAACCCGAGGTACCATTTTAGCTAATGGGGACTCCTGCTGCTGCCGCACCACCACCACTCGATTTCTGTTCTCATCCTGAAGCAAAGTTCTTAACCGAGGTACTATTTCTGGGTTAGCGGAGTCTGTAACATGAAGCGTCTGTAACCCGAGGTACCACTGTATTTCTGAAGAGGAGGGATTTGAATCCAGGTTTTCTAGATAATTGCTTGTGGGTTTTTTTGTTTTGTTATTGCTTTTGCTTTAAATGCAACATCAGCCAAATAACAATTATTGCATATTTGATGATTCAGGTAGTGTCAGGGGTTCAGGGACAGAGGCACAGGGTAGGCAGGAGATGGAGAGCGATGGGGATGAATCCCAGGACAGCGAGGAAGAGGATGACAATGACTCAAGAGATTCCATGAGTCTTTCCAGCGAATCAGAGGATTCCCAGAAGGGGGCGCCGGTGGTCAAGGCCAGGGGAGCCCCAGGGGGGACGTGTCAGGAGCAGGGGGCCAGCGGGGGATCCCAAAGTGGCAGCTGGGCATCAGGACCAGTCTCCCCGCCAGAGTGCAGCGAAGGGGGTGGAGGTTCCAGTGTATCAGGGGAAGCAGCTCCGGCAGCAGAGAAGGGAGGGAGGTCGGAGCAAGCCACCCTCCCGGAAGGGGAGGGGAGTAGTGAAGGGAGTAGTGTAACTGTCAAAAGGAAGGTTAGAGGTTGGGCGCGCGCGCCAAGTTCAAATGTAGAGGCGCGCGGAAGTACAGGGAGCCCGGAGGAGGGGCCAGGTCCCAAAGCTCGCAGGAGGGGGGAAGAGCAATCTGGGGATTCCGCGTCAGGGGAATCCAGGAGGGGCGGAACCCCAGGGGGCAGGAAGACCCTGCGGAAAAGGAAAGAGAGGAAGAGGTGGAGCAGCGCAAGCCTCTTAAACTGGTGCAGGGGAGGGACTGACTCAGAGGGGACTTCAACGGTCTAAGCGTAACAGACGTGGGGCTGCGCGCCTCGGATGTGAAGCAAACAATGAACTCCAATAAACACTTTTGTATATAAGAAGAGATTGGCGTTGGTCTTTTGTGAGCTGAGACCTGAGGCAGCCCTGACAGTAAGTCCCCTCTCACAAAACCGCAAAAAATTTTTTTGCAAAGCTCACGAAGTTTGGCAGACAGGACTACTGAGGAGCAGATAACGACCCTGCAAAACGCAGTCACCGAGCTCTCCGCTGCGGTAGTGGTCTCCCAGAAGACAGTTGCCGAAGCAGAAGCGCAATGCCAGGATCTGCAAGCCAGGTGGGACCATGCGTGCAAAGAGGGGTTCCCGGGGTCCAGATCAGAGGGAATCGGACTCAGACGGGGGGGGGCAATTTAGTAGCCCACTTCGATGGGAACCTGAAGCATTATCCCAGTTTCAGAGCAGACGTCGTATACGCGCTGCATTTGCTTCGGAAAGACTTCAAAGATGAGGAGGAGAAAGTAGGCTTTATTGTGTCCCATTTGCATGGGGAAGCTAGAGCCTGGTTACGCAATTTGTGGCGCGAAGATGGTCCTGCCCGCAGGAACTCTGACGAATTTATCAAAGCCATGGACGCTTGCTTCCAATCTACCGTTGACGTTGATGTGGCGCGACGGGAGATGCATGGATTGCGGCAGGGCAAGGCTACAGTGCGTCAGTACCATTCTCGCTTTTTTGCATTGCTGAATGTGCTGGGCTGGGAAAAGGACTCCCTGGCAGTGAGAGACTTGTTCTGGGAGGGGCTCCATGGCTCCGTAAAAGATGAGTTGGCCAGGGGGGACAGACCTCAAACCCTAGCAGACGTCGTGCAGAGGGCACTCACGATAGGAGTGCGCCACGAAGAACGCCCTTGGCACAGTGAGGAGGGGCGCCAAGTCCGCGCACCAGCTAGAGCGCCTCCTTTTCTTCCCAGGGACCTGGGACGTACGCATCCCTCGCCTCTGCTGAGGGAGGGGGAGGAACCAATGGAACTGGGTGGTGCAAAGGCTCAGACAGCTGCCGGAGCCTCAGCGTCCGGAGCAGTCAAGGCGAAGCCTCCTAGAGGGACCAGGAAGTGTTACATCTGTGACAGTGCGCAGCACATGGCCAAAGAGTGTCCCCAGAGGCTCCAGAAGCACACTGCAGCCTTAGCAACAGTAACAGGAGCAGCGCTACAAGGAGAGCAGTTTCAGGGAAACGACAATGCCTGGCTGGAAGCAGACATGCTGGGGCTCAGCCAGGCGAGTCAGTAAAGCAGTCCCCAGCGCTTTTGCAGCCTACAAATCCCTTACCACCCAAGCCAGTGGTGCAGCTCACTGCTACTCTCCAGCTACCTAATGGACTCACCCTGGAAGTCCCCATTACAATTGACTCAGGGAGCAACGCAGACTTCGTGGGGATGCAGTTCATCAAGCAGCATCGCATAGCGCTTCTACCAGCCACGCTGCCTCTGAACGTCGTCACGGTAGATGGCAGGAAGTTGCTGGGCGGGCAAGTGGTACAACAGACGCCACCCATGCTGCTGAAGATTGGGAATCATCGCGAGGTCATCAGTTTCAACGTCACCCGACTGTCAGACACGCCTATAGTGTTAGGCATGAGTTGGCTGGATAGACACAGCCCATCATTAGCGTGGTACCAGCGGCAGCTCACCTTTGGCTCGTCCTACTGCGCACAACATTGCATCCAGACCGGCCAGGAGGAGGAGGGCCAGGAGGAAGGGCAACAGTTGCATCTAGGCATGGTGCAGGCAGTGCCCCACAAGTACAAGGGGTTTTTGGAGGTCTTCTGTGAAAAGGAAGCTGACCAATTACCACCCCACCGGCCCTACGACTGTGCAATTGACCTCTTACCAGGGGCGACGCTGCCGACTGCGAAGCTGTATTCCATGTCTGAAGATGAGATGCAGGAACTCAGGGAGTTCATAGATCACAATCTGAAGCGGGGATTCATCCGAGAATCCAAGGCAGTGGGGGGCAGTCCTGTGTTTTTCGTGAAGAAGAAGGACACGCCCCCAAAAAGGCTCATTGTGGACTATAGGGCCATAAACTCGATGACAAAGCCCAAGGCCTTCCCCATGCCCAAAATTGACGACCTGCTCGCGACGGTGAGGAAGGGGAGGGTCTTCACCAAGTTGGATCTACGCGGAGCATACAATCTAATACGCATGAGGGAAGGTGACGAGTGGAAGACGGCCATGTTCACGCCGCTGGGCACCTATGAATACAGAGTTATGCCGTTTGGTCTCCAAAATGGCTCCCACTGTTTCCAAGCCTTCATGCACCACGTGCTAGCGGGACTCCTCTACAAGAAGTGCGTATGCTTCCTCGACGACATTCTGATCTTCTCAGAATCGCAGGAGACTCACGAGAGAGACGTAAAGGAGGTCCTGCAGAGGCTACGGGAGCACAGACTCTACGCCAAACTGGAGAAGTGCCAGTTCGACGTGACGGAGGTGGATTTCCTGGGCTACCGGCTGTCCGACAAGGGACTAGCCATGGACAGCGCCAAGGTCCGCGCGGTGTTGGACTGGAATAGCCCGCGCAATCGGAAGGAAGTCCAGAGGTTCGTCGGCTTCGCCAACTTTTACCGCAAGTTCATCAGGGGTTTCGCGAAAGAGACGGCAGCTATCACGGACACCCTCAGTTCCAAGAAGAAAAGTTCACATGGACGGACCAGGCGGAGCAGTCCTTCAGGAGACTTAAGAGCCTCTTCGCGTCCGAAGAACAGCTGCTACACGTGAATCCCGGCAGGCCCATGCGGGTTGAGACTGACGCATCTGACAGAGCAGTGGGGGCCGTCCTCTTGCAGGAAGATCCGCAAGGGAACTGGAGGCCCTGCGCTTTCTATTCCCAGAAGCTCAGCAAGTCAGAACAGAACTACACCATCTGGGACAGGGAGTTGTTGGCCATCCACGCGGCTTTCAAGGCGTGGCGGCACTTCCTCATCGGAGCCAAGCACACCGTGCAAGTCCGCACGGACCACAAGAACCTAGAGTATTGGCGCACGGCGAAGCTCCAGAGCCAGAGGCACATACGATGGGCGGAGTTCTTTGCGGATTTCGACTTCAGGATAGAGTATATCCCGGGAGACAACAACGTCATAGCGGATGCGCTCTCCAGGAAACCGCAGTATCTCGAGGAAGCGGCACCAGTGGCAGCCAAGCACATTTTCGCACCGCAGGCGTGGGCGTGCGCTTCCGCCGCCGTGGACCTGGACGCGGTACGACGCGCGCTGCAGACGGATCCGTTCGCACAATCCAAGATGGAGGAGGTGCGAAGAGGGACAGCAAAGGACGACGAATTCCAGATACGCGACGGCCTGCTAACCCGCAAAGGTGCTCTCTACGTGCCGGGAGACGATCTCCGCGCGAAGGTTCTACAGCAGTTACACGACGCACCCAGCGCGGGTCACTTCGGCAAAGAAAAGACGGCGGACTTAGTAGCCAGGGACTTTTGGTGGCCCCAGATGCGAGGAGAGGTCGCGGATTACGTCGCCAGGTGTGACACTTGTCAGAGGTCCAAGCCAGTGCACAAGAAGCCAGCGGGATTGTTGGAACCGCTGGAGACGCCACTACAGCCGTGGGAAAGGGTGGCGCTGGACTTTGTTACTGATCTGCCCAGTTCGCGAGGCAAGACTGCGGTGCTTGTGGTTGTAGACCTGTTCACCAAGATGGCGCACTTCATTCCTTGCGCGAAGGTGGCAACAGCGGAACAGACCGCCAAGCTGTTCATAGACCACGTGTTCCGGGTGCACGGCTTACCACGGTCCATCCTGTCCGACCGGGGTCGCCAATTCATTTCCAGTTTCTGGCAGAAGCTCCTGGGCATCCTGAATGTCAAGATCAACTTAGCGTCGGCGAGACACCCGCAAACCAACGGCCAAGCGGAGAGGGTCAACGCCATCATGCAGCAGTACCTGCGATGTTACGCCAATCAAAAGCCTGCAACTTGGGTGGACTACTTACCAATGGCCGAGTTTGCCTACAACAACACGAAGCACGCGTCAACGGGGGTGACACCGTTCTTCGCCAACAATGAGCGACATCCCAGAACCTTCCCGGGGTTGGAGACAACGACGCAGGGGGAGTCGCAGGGAGCTGAGCATTTAGCAGCAGAATTGCAGGAGGTCCACGAGGAGCTACGACGGCACTTGGAACTAGCTAAACACGCCTACAAAGTGCAGGCAGACAGGCACAGGAGGGCAGGAGAAGACATCCAGGTGGGGGACTGGGTATGGTTAGCAGCCCAGGCGGTGCCGGCCAAGTCGTTAGCTAAGAAGAAGCTAGGACACAAACAGCTAGGGCCATACCAAGTTGAGGGCAGGATCAATCCCGTAGCTTTCGGTTGACCCTCCCAGAAGGTTCCAGAATGCACCCGGTCTTTCATAGGTCGGTGCTTACACCCTACAAGGCCCCACACAGATTTCAGGAGCTAGGGACGGCACCAGACCCACGTAGAAAGTCAGCAGGGGGGGGGAGTCACCGAGGACCCCGACACTCAACGAGGTCACGGAAATTCTGGACTCGAGATGGGGAGAGGAGGGAGTAGAATACCTCCTCGCCAGGGAAGGTACCCCGGCCAGCGCCAACAGTTGGGTGCCGGATTATGCTCTGGAGGAACCTCTTCTTAAAGACGAGTTCCATGCACTCTTCCCACACAGGCCCATGCCAGCGGAGTATTTTGACGACTGGCTTTTTACGCCCACACTTTCAGACAGCACCTTCCGGGGGTTCTCCTCCGCAGAGGAGACCACGCCAGAATCAAGCCCTCCAAGGGGATCGTGCTCGGGGGTGGACACGGACCGCTCTTACTGGTGGGACGATCAACCAGAAGAGGAGTGGCGCAGGGGGTGGCTAAGGGGGCCTTGGCAAGCAGCATCGCCTGAAGTAACAGGGGGAGGGGAGGACTTGGAGGTGTTGGGGGAGGACCCCGGTTTCGAGCACTCATACACTGAACTGGAAGCAGAGGAGATCGACGTCGACGAACTGTATCCAGCATCTACCCCCGCTACAACGGAGCTCCCGGAACCTGCGCCCGAGCAGCGGGAGGGGCGAAGGGGGCTTCGAGGGAGATGGATGTCAGGGGTTCAGGGACAGAGGCACAGGGTAGGCAGGAGATGGAGAGCGATGGGGATGAATCCCAGGACAGCGAGGAAGAGGATGACAATGACTCAAGAGATTCCATGAGTCTTTCCAGCGAATCAGAGGATTCCCAGAAGGGGGCGCCGGTGGTCAAGGCCAGGGGAGCCCCAGGGGGGACGTGTCAGGAGCAGGGGGCCAGCGGGGGATCCCAAAGTGGCAGCTGGGCGTCAGGACCAGTCTCCCCGCCAGAGTGCAGCGAAGGGGGTGGAGGTTCCAGTGTATCAGGGGAAGCAGCTCCGGCAGCAGAGAAGGGAGGGAGGTCAGAGCAAGCCACCCTCCCGGAAGGGGAGGGGAGTAGTGAAGGGAGTAGTGTAACTGTCAAAAGGAAGGTTAGAGGTTGGGCGCGCGCGCCACGTTCAAATGTAGAGGCGCGCGGAAGTACAGGGAGCCCGGAGGAGGGGCCAGGTCCCAAAGCTCGCAGGAGGGGGGAAGAGCAATCTGGGGATTCCGCGTCAGGGGAATCCAGGAGGGGCGGAACCCCAGGGGGCAGGAAGACCCCGCGGAAAAGAAAAGAGAGGAAGAGGTGGAGCAGCGCAAGCCTCTTAAACTGGTGCAGGGGAGGGACTGACTCAGAGGGGACTTCAACGGTCTAAGCGTAACAGACGTGGGGCTGCGCGCCTCGGATGTGAAGCAAACAATGAACTCCAATAAACACTTTTGTATATAAGAAGAGATTGGCGTTGGTCTTTTGTGAGCTGAGACCTGAGGCAGCTCTGACAGGTAGGAATCTGAATCTACATTTTCTAAATTCAAATATATATATATTTCATATAACATATGATATGTATTTCAAATAACATGCAATTTCAATGAAAAAAAACTTATTAACTGTAATAATCCTTTAGAGTAATCATACATCCCTTTGTAGAGCTTCATTAAATCTTTCCCCCCACCCTCCCCAGGAGTGTGACATCAGATGTTTGCCAGAAACTTCACAGGATGAAATCTCTCCAAATTCAAGACAAACAACACATCACCCTAGCTATAACACATTATACTCAGAAAATGAATAATTCTTCATTAAAATGCTTTTTAGTTCTGCACTTAGAAAGTTCAAATGAATTTTGGAGACAATGGTAGTATGAAAAGAATGAGGGCATTTTTGATTAGTAAGCCCATTATTTCAGAGGCACTAATAAACCCACAACTCATCCTTATGTGCGAGCCCATTCCAAAATGTTGGCACTGCTCCAGTCCCTGTGACATCATCAAGAGTGTGTTGGTTCTCAGTGGCTCCCTTTGAATTGTATGGGATGAGGCAAATGAGTTGCCATCTGACAGGTGCTGGACTTGTTCTCATTGCAAGACTTTATGGTCACTAGCTTAGCAGAACACACTTTTCAAAACACTTGGGAAAATTATTCCACACAAGGAACACCCTTCCTTGCATGAAGCTCTATCTACACACATCTGATGTCAGCTGAATGCACAAACACTGGATAAATGTAGTGAAGGTGGGTGGGGCTAGAGCACATAACCCCTCCATGTGCGCTTTCAACATGGCACCCCACCCCCCTTCATCCATCACTCATGTACAAGGGATAAAGAAACTTTGCAGCCTTGCCTTCTCCCCATTCATTTGCTCCACATATACCCACCTAGGAGAA